ATTCGTGCTACAATTATACTAATAATGTCCTCCAGACCGAATTTCGGTCACGGTGGCCAGCCCCAACCGAGACTAGCCATCGGTGCAGGACTGCATTATAGTGCCCAAGTGGTGGTGCATTGTGCAGGTGCATTCTCTATTTTCTTACTCTCATGGTCTGATGGGACGGTAAACCAATACAACTGGAGAGAGATCAGGCGCAGGACCAACAAATTTACGTGCTTTCCGATGCGTGGGGGTGAGACAACACCAACTTCCTGACTCCGGGCGTGATGTTTTTGCCCGGGATTCGAAACCGGGACCTCATGTTTAGCAGTCGCACTAGTACAACCACTAGACCAACGAGGTATTCAACAACTACAACTATAATACTAATTCAGCCATAGGATGACTCTACCGCCTGCAAGTATTTCACGGTACGGTATTTCAAACGTCTAGATTTTAAAGACGAAAAAAAATTAAATAACTCGATAAGATTAAAGAATACCCAAAAAATCTCTTTTGGGTTTGGAAACTATAAGTCCAACAAAACACCAGTAAGTAAAGGCTGACGGACATAATATCTCCCCAAATACAATGAAGCAAATAAATGTGAAATTAAAAAACGCTACTGGTTATGCCTTCTGCCATTTTAACTTTAATACCACATGACTGCCTCCTTAAAATTTGTTAAAAATAATAAACAAAGTGCAATAACAGAAGGGAGATGTTAAGGAAAATATTATTGACTTAACAAGTAGCAGTGAAATATTATTATAAAGTAAAAAAAGCTAGCATTTCAAATAACAAGTCGCTACTTTAGTCAACTTTAAATATACTACAGGCACAGAGGCGTCACTTTTTTACAAAATCAAGCCTTTTAATAAAAAGTTTAAACCTACGTCAAAAGTGATTAAACTTATTAAAAGTTAAACTTTCGACTTCATTATTGGTCGACGTGCTAAAGAACTATTGACCCATATGTCGCGATGAGTTTCATAATATGCTTATGGGTCCCATCATCAGATATGATATAGCTGAATTTATAAAAGGTAGGCCTTTCTCTGAGGTAACCCTTGATACAAAAAGAAAAACTATTGGAATCGGACAACTTGGTAAAGAATTAAAGCTGAACATAAAAAATATTCCGAGGAATTAAGAATATCTTCCTTTTTTAATCGGTTAAAATAGTATGAGTGACAGACACCTGATAATAAATATTCTGTTATTTTACTCAGTTATTCTATGAGCTCGTGGACGTACCACATATTAAGAAAGATTACCTCTGGAATAAGATACAATGTGTTACAGTTTCATATGTACTCTACTCTATATACTTTTCAAACCTTAACATAGAGACTTACCGGACTAGCCAAAAATAAATAAGTGGTGGTGCCTAACCAGATTTCTAGACAGAATGATTATCTAAATACCTAGTCAAAAAATATAAAAAACGTTTTACAAACGAAACTTAAATTCTTTTAGTAATTTCCAGTGTACCTACTCCTTTTGACACTTAAAGCAAAAAAATGTCAAGCGCACATAAAGAAAGATGAAGAAAAATACGGAGCGTTGCATCTTTTTTCTTTCTTTCTCTACCAGCTCGTCAAATTTCACTTTTGGACGAACACAAATTCACCTTAAACTATGTTGTTGCTGATTTTAGAAGCCTCATGCTTGTAGTGCACGTAAGTGCGTGTTTTTTCAATAAGTTGAGAATGGTTCTGGCTTAGTTTATGTCTCATAAAGTGTACAGTGTGCATTTAAGACTAAATATTTAGGAAAATTAAAAACATTAAGAAATAAAGATCAGAAAAAATAAGTGTTATTTTTGAAGATCATTATATTATCATTATTTGGAAGAGATCATTATTTGGAGATAAATGACAGTTTATTAACACGTAACAAAATAAAGATACTCTTATAACCGGCGATTATGCAAGTAGTTAAATCCAGTTTGTCACTTTCTAATTAATTATTTAATCTATTAAATCTATACTTTCCGATTATTATCTTCACACATTGAGGTTTTCTCCGTAATTTAAGGCAACTAACGAATGAAACATTTTCTCTCTTATTTAGTATAGATTTATCTTGAGATCAACAGACATTTTGATATACCTCAATTAAACTATTTTATTTTTAAGGCGTCAGGAACGTCCACCATAATTAAACAAGTTAGAAAAAAAAGTATAGTTTAAGGGATTGGATCTTTCGCCAAGTGGTGGCGGCATAAGAAAATCCATCATGTGATATAGTATATAACTATCTATGTTATATAGTATGTTATATAACAATCTAAATGGCAGAATAATAATATAAATAATCAACAAAAGTCTCCAGTTAGATTACACCATCAGAGAAATTTAAATCATCAGAGAGATTTAAAGCGAGTTGGCAATCACATTTTTTTATATTTTTATTAATGGAAGACACTGTTTCCCCTTTTTTGGTTGGTTTCCCTCTGTCACCTTTTCGACACCCACGGGACAATATGGGGTAGTGGATGTTCTAACACAGCCACATCCTAATATCTGCTTAATTCTTTCGAACACGTCCGATCATATCATGCATCATCGAAATCGTCATAATGACTACAGTCACCACAAGTCCACTGCTGAACATAAGCCTCTCCCAAGTTATGTTTTTTTTTATAATGAGGTGACAATGGAGCACACAGTTCACCGTTCCACCACCACTTCTTCAATCTTCTTCAAAATTATTTTCAATTTGCCTAAATATTTACATTCGATGTCATTTAGGAATCTCAGGTCAAGAAGGAGTGCTGCATACACTTTGAGTGACATAGAAACCAAGCCAAAACCACCTTCAGGAGGACTACGATAGAATAGTTTCCAGTAAAAACGGTTTCCGGTTCTCTAGATTCATCATACGAAACACAGCAGCATTAAGCTTCTATTTTACTCTGGTATTCTGTAAGAGCGTGGTCCTTCCCCGGTAGAGCCGACACATTTGTGCTACAATCATAACATAGCTGCAGCGTGGCTATACCGCGTGAACAATGATACAATGCATATGACCATTTAAAACATCAAAGCAAGTCCAAACTTGGAACCATTACGGTCGTTCTTATTTACAGTCGCGTCGTAACGATATGTAACCACAGTCTTCACATACTTACGAAGTATTAACTTATCAATTTGTTAACTGCAATCAGAACGCAGGGCCCCCTACGTTATCATAAGTGCCTTCATAAAACTGTACCGGCTGGCGTCTCATCCGAGTCGTAAAATCCTTATCTTCGACTGTGTGGTGTCTTTCGACAGCTGCGAAGAACTACTTAGATAATTGTTGCTTAAAACAGAACAGTTGGAACCTCATTATATGATATGTGGAGCAAATTGAGAAAGAGTTTTAAGAATTTGAAATTTTAAACGATTGCATAATATATCTCTATATATCTATGTACATCCTACGTATAAAACTGAAGTTTTTTTTAATATTAATATAACTGTCTTCTATTAGCCTCAGGTGGTTATTTCCATTTTATTAAAACATGAACAACGGACTAATTTTCGGAATAGCTGAACCTATTATAATGAAAATTCACGAACAAGTAAGAAGCGAAGCCAAACGTAATCTTAGGTTATATCCGAAAGTCATGCAAGATTTTTTTTTGTGAAAGTCAAAAACCGATAAAATAATTGTCATAAAATATAATATATATATATATATATATATATATATATATATATATATATATATATAAGCAGAGATGCACGCGTACTGTACTCTTCATTTGTTGGGCGCTGGCAGAATAACAGCGTTGTAGGCAACTGCATTTTATGCTGAGCTAGAACCCATTAATTATTACACTATTTAATTCTGGTTATTTCTGTGTGTACTGGTCACTGTAACTTTATTGGTGGTAATGAATAAATGTTTTTTTATTATTATTATTATAAGTGGCACGAAAAAGTACTATAGTACCTACGTGAGGGTAATACGAGTATAGTCATCTGGTTAATATAGTCACTTCCTAATATCTACGGCCTTGTTTGTATAGATTGATACGATAGCTCTTCATCGGTCAATAAAATAATAAAGGGTCAAATGATCGATGCTTTATCGATGCCATTTTAACAGTTGACATTATAATAAATATTTTAGTCGATTTTAGTATGGTGTATTGTAGCTAGTTTTTTTAAATTGATTTTACGAAGTGTTTCTAATTATTAACTATAATATAGACTATTATATTTACTTATAAACTATTTGTCCAAAGAACACTATTATAGATGTGCAAGTGTTCTACACGAACGATGTCGCGGGAAATGCTAGTATGCAATATTTTACGATCTTTTTCTATACCTATTTACATATTATTTAAGTAGGCATATAAGATTTATATTCATAATTTTATTTCCCATCTGTATCTTACGATATCAAATTTCATCCCTTATTAATACAAAAAATTGATTTCACGGAATGTTTTCAAGTTATTTAAAAAAAAAATTAACGGAATAAGGGTGTTGTTTAAGTTTAAGCACACACACACACACACACACACACACACACACACACACACACACACACACACTACACACAATCATACACGCCCGCGCTCACACATACGGATATCATCGCACATCGCAAAAATAGCTAGAATAGCTTCCTAGGACCTCGAGACATCGAGATTGGACCGATATTAAAACAATAACTTCCCAATTTTTTGAAAATCAATGACTTTCACAGTGGGAAGCTGAAAATAACTATCCGCAAATGCATTGTTGCCCGGTATGTCGCTCGCTGCTCTCCCAGTCTCGGCTACAGCATCAAGCTATGTGAAGTCCGTGTGTATCGTGCACACTTATTATTGCAATATGTGATATTTCATCTTCCATCACAGCCTATATACTGCTGAACTTTGTCTCCCTCATTGATTGCCTTACCGTCAGGCCACAGCATCCATTTACCGTAAAGGTGTACTGTTACCTCGTTAGTCACTGTTATTCTAAAAAATAACAAATATTATAATAATATTATGCTGTTCATTTCAGGATGGTGAGAGGCTGTTCATGGGAGCACCAGGTAGCTTCTATTGGCAAGGTGAGTTAGATAAAATTTACTATCTATTTATCTGTCATATCCTTAAAAGGAAACAAAGTGCCATTGGTCTTACATTTTTATATTTTCATTTATTTGAAAGATACTTTAAACTGAAGGCCATCTTTCTGTTTTAAAGGGAAATCACAATGCTCATGATTTTTTTAATGGCAATTGAGACTGGTATTTGTTTCTTTTGAAGATTGTTTCGTTCTTTCAGATTTAACTAAATGTGTGTTAAAAAATAAAAGGTTAAATAAACATGTATATTGAATTTATTATAAAAATCCACAGGGCGAACGTTATCCATAGACACTAGCGCAAGGTTCAACTACTATATGCCGAAGGAAGGTAAAAAGTCCAAGACGGATTGACCACGTAACTTCTTTAACCGAAATAACCTAGCCAGAGGCTTTTGTTCGCCTAATCCTATGAAATTAGCCCGCCGAACCATTATCAGACTTCTCAATTATAATTTCTGTGATTTTGAGTAAGTTGGGGACTATGTTGACAAGTAAACTTAACTATTACTATTTACATATATTACCATAAATAATATCATAATTTAATATTATAGTTTTTTTTTACGAAATGTAAAAATCATAAAAATGTGTATCATTTTATGCTATAGTTATTTATTTACGTACTATTTTAATTTATAGATTTCATTGTTTCAAGAATATCAAAAGTCAGAATCAGTTTTTTAATTTTTTTGTTAAAATAATAAATACATTATTGTATATCAAGACTCAAGAGCTTATGTATAATTATTTTTATTTATAAATTTTAGAAATAAAGTCTGAGGTTTTTTACTAGTGCATATGAATTAATAATATAATAAATGTGCTAGTAAAATAATTTTAAATATAAATAATTGCAAATCCCTAACAATACTCAAATTCACACAAATACTGTTGGAAATCTGTTCATTAAAATTCATGTCTACTCATCCATCATTGGCATATATTCGTGCCAAAGCAGCGCTTTAACTAACGTGAAAATAGCCGATGTCATTTCCCATAGACAACCCATACGACCCATGTACCCCTATAGAAAATTTAGCTGTAGATGGATGATGTTATGCGGTATAGATGCACGAAATCTCATACATTCATGACCTACCCATATCATTATATTTTGCTTAATACGTTAATAATTTTATAACTTAATACGTTTTTAAAACAGGAATGTATTGAAAAGAAGTGGTAAAATTAAAAATTTTATACAACCGACTTCAATATAAATAAAATGTAGATCATCGTAGATCATCATCAATGTAGTCGAACTCAAAAGTACTAAATATGCATTATTAAAGATAACTCAAAACCATCCCGGTCAGATCTTGATCAAATTTATATGGGACTACATGAGAAGCACCAGCTTTCAAATTACAAAAGAATCATCAAAATCGGTTCACCTAGAAAAAAGTTATAAGGTAACATAAATATATAAAAAATAAAGTCGGTTTGAGAACCTCCTCCTTTTTTGAAGTCAGTTGAAAAAACGAAAGTTTTCGGGATGTGGATCCAAGGAAGTTGAAAAACTCATTACAATTTAATCTAAAGTACGCTACGCTTATACAAGGCTTCATAAATAAAACATGTCCTGTAATATTAAATAAATAAATCAGTATATTTTTAAAATTGTCTCGTTCTGTTTCGAGGGGCGTCACAAAATCAAAAATAGATTGCTTTCGGTGTTCATTAACTGCTAATGATTTGTTCAATTTATCACGAGTGCTTTGCATTTCGTTTGGTTTTCCTAACGATTATTATTAATAAGAATTTTACTATTTTTGATTGTGTTCCTCCTTTCGAACGAACTCGTTTACTTTTCAGCAAGTTAATACCATCATAGTATACCAGATGGGTTATATTGGTTTGATTAACGCTTCAAATAAACGGTGACCACGCTTTAAACTAATTTTGTTGATAAAATTCAACAGTTAATTGGCTTTTATAAGGTATAACAAGGATTTGGTAACGTTAACATTTTAGAAATATTCGAAAACATTACATAAAATCGCAGGATATAATAAATAGTTTTATTTTATATAAAATAATCTTAATTTTCTATACTATATACAGTTAAATTCGTACATGCTACAGTTAAAGTTACTTTTTTTAATATTAGTACAAAAATCATGCTTATGCTATATAATATTATATTAATTAAATACTTCTTGGAAATGTTTATAAATATTAATAATTTTTATTCCTCTTTCTGTAACTTCAAAGAAAAAAAAAGTAATATTTAGTTTTTTTTTTATATTTTACGTTAATGCATTATGATTTCACGGAAATATACATTTTCTTCGTTATTATTTTTATTTCTGTTTTACTGCAAAAATAATTACGACAAATATCATGTATCGCGTATTCCCTTTAGGCCAACTGAAAGTTCAAACAATAAATGGAAAGAGGAGTCTCATCTCTACACCAGAAGCCAGTCCTAAGTATGACGACTCGTACATGGGCTATTCAGTGACTGTAGGAGATTTTGGTGATCAGGGGCAGCAAGGAGTTGCTGTTGGTGTACCCAGGGGCGCGGATTTGAAAGGATTGGTTAGTAACTTATCTATTTACTTCTTCTTTATCATAACCCAGCTGTTACCTTCAGCATGCAGATTGACGTAATGAAAGATAACTCGCAGATTTATACCTCGAAAACCAAATTTTTGGTATAATATGATTTTTGACTATATGATCTGGGATTCCATAAAAGGAAAACACGATATCATATACCTAATTTTCTCGACAGAAAAAAACTGTTAAGTAGGCTCTAAATATAATGATTTCTTAAATTTACGCGAACACTACACATTGAATAAAACTATTATTTACGGATTTTATCGCGTTTAATTACTTTAATTTATTTTTTATTATTATCCCGACGTTTCGGTTGCTTTACAGCATCCATGGTCACGGGGGGGACTGAGATGTTTGACGTCCCAATGTCATAGTTAGTCCGGCTACCTTCAGTTTTTTTAATATTAATTTTTGGTCCGATTTACGCAAAACGAGCTTATAGTATCATGAAGTCTTGCAGTGGTATGCTTGGGTTTGGGTTTAATTTTGTTAATTATAGGATCCCAAGCAGATGGTAGCACCCAACCATCTTCCCTATTGAAATTTGGATTTTTTTTTAATTTCAATAGCCTCGCGTGTCATCCTTGGTAGGAATCGGTGTTCTTTTGCGAGAATTTGTGGTTTATCAAATCTAATGTAATGGTGGGGACGATCTTGAACATGTTCGCAGACTGCAGACTTCCCGGAGCGTCGGTGCTTCACATCAGCTATATGTTCCTTCACGCGGGTTTTTATAGATCTCTTTCATTGACCTATGTAAGAGAGACCACATTCACAATCTAGCTTGTACACACCTGCATCTTGTAGAGGAATATTATTTTTGATGGATGGTAAAAATTGACTAATCTTCTTCAGCGGCTTGTAGTATGTCTTAATGGACGCTCGCTTCAAAATAAATAATAAAAAATAAATTAAAGTAATTAAACGCGATAAAATCCGTAAATAATAGTTTTATTCAAGGCTCTAAATAGTTACATATCTCCGTGCACCCACAATAGTTTTAGGAGTAAGTAAATTATGTTTAAAGCATAGTAAATAATCATGTCTAAGTTCACATAAACAATCGGCGTAAATTAGATGTTTACACCGCCATCTATCGAAAGTCATTAGATTTTTCTAGCATTTCCTATAGCGTCTTACGACACCCACGCCTACGAGACAAAAAAGGTGATGAATTCGCAAACGCCTGATGGCATAATCCATACACCACAATTATTTATTAGTTGTGCATATCTGTAAGAACGTACTATCATACACACACATACACACACACACACACACACACACACACACACACACACACACACACACACACACACACACACACACACACACACACACACACACACACACACACACACACACACACACACACACACACACACACATACACACACACACACACACACACACACACACACACACACACACACACACCGCATGCATATTTTTAATTTTGTAAATTATCTATATTGTTGTTGTGTTATGATTTTTATGGTATATCTTTAAAATAAGTCAATGAAAAATAACTGAAATAGCTAACGTTTACATTTTCAAGGTTGTTTTATACACATGGGACCTGATGAACATTAAGAACATCAGCGGTTCACAAATTGGCGCCTACTTCGGCTACAGCCTTGCTTCCGGTGATATCGACGGTGATGGGACTGATGACGTCATTGTCGGTGCCCCTATGTTTTCCAAGCCCAAGGCTAATGGATACGAGCATGGAAGGATCTATGTCATCTATCAAGGAAAAGATAGGGTAAGGAGAATTGTGTTTCAAAGCGCCATTTATAACTCATTTATTGATAGTAAAGGTGACATAACGACACACAATATACCTGATAGTCAGCGGATGCTGTATTCAATAGTAACCTTCGTATTTATTTCCGATAATGAATTAAAATGCAGATATTTTGTTAGTGGTCACCACTAAGAACTAAGATGGAAGCATTCGTGATCAGTTAAAAGGGCTTAAATGACGAGAACTGGGGGTTTTAGTTTTATGCCTTTGGACCATTTTTGGCATTGTTTTGGCCTTTCTTTGGACCAGCCAACCCATTCGTACCGCAGCCATAATTCGTTGCAGCGTTGATAGATAGATACACCTACATTTATTATTATATTATGTAATATAATTATTTGTTACTGTTTCGTGAACACTATATATTGATTTAAAGTACTTTTACGGATTTTATTTCAAGTGCTTTGACGTATGGTCCCTGATGTCATAGTTAGCCCGAAGGACTTTTAATTTTTAATTATTAACTTTGGTCCGATCAAGTCAGAATGAGCGTACTGTATTTTGAAATATTGCATCTTGAAGTGTAATTTATTAATTACGGGATCCCAAGCAGCCGTCTCTTATCCTCGCGAATCATCCTTGGCACTTGAAACGACAAGATTAAGAAATAAAATAAATTATTTTCATTAGTATTATTTTATTACATATTTTGATTTTATGGTAGAAGAGTCGTAAAAGGAAACAGTGTTAACTGGCCATGTCCTGGGCTTTTTATCTGGGAATCTGTGATTATTACAAAAACATTTAGTTGCAGTTTTGTTAAGTATATTTATGTATTCAGAGCCTTGTATGTTTTTCAAATTAATGTTTCAGTCATTCTCGAAGAACCACGCACGCACAGGCGAGATTTCACGTGGTCGTTTCGGCTTAGCTGTCACATCACTTGGAGATATCAATTATGATGGATTTGGAGGTAAGTACATCATGTCTTAAATGCTAAAGGAATATCTCCTCTCCTAAATCAACTATTGTACTGATACCTTTCTTCTTGTATATTTTATAGGATCTTACCAGCGTCCTGCTTCTTATTTACACTCTGTATGTAATATCAAACTTTTTCAATGTATTACTGCATATTAAACAAGATGATTATGCCACCATCAGTCGGAAGCAACTTGATGTTGGAGTAGTGGATTTGGCATTTTAATTGCTGCATTGCAGTTACAGTTAAGTGAGGCCAATGAGCACATTGTGCAATTAAGACAATACATATATGACTTGAAAGCGTCCCAAACTCAAAGTCTCAATGAGCTCATAGAATGTAAATCTTCTAAAACATTCCAACCTTCCACAACAATTGATTTGACTGGTGATGTTACATCAAGAACAGCAGATAGGATTGCTTACAGTACAAGAAAATTAAAGAAATATATAAAAAAATAATAAATATGTTAGGATTTTTCTAACATATTTATTATTTTTAGAAAACTTAATTAATACCAAAATCATAATTAAAAAATTATACAAATGTACGTTAGGAAAAGCAAGAGTTAATTAATAAACTTAAATTAATTATATAGCTTATATACGTATATACGTCACTGCCCAGCAGTGAGACGTATATAAGCTGTGACTATTATAAGGTTGACTGATATACATAGCTCTAAAAATTAGCTCATTCTCAACACCCTGGGGAGGTGGATTGGAAAAAAGAGTTTTCTTTTAAATAACTGACCTGGCTCATGGATTGTGAAAAAAAAAGATGGTCAAACAAACGGAGACGAAAATATTTTAGTTAATTCAAATTTTTACACAGCACGTTTAAATTTAATTTTTAATTGGAACATCGAGTTAACTCAGAGTTGTAAAGAGAAAGAAATAAAAAACGATATCAGAAAATTACAAGAATTAATCCTTATTCTATTTTCTTATGAAACCTTAAAAATTATTTTGCACACTGAACGCGTAGTTAAATAATTGAAAAACGTTGTATTAATTTCAATTTTCAGATATAGCGGTAGGCGCACCGTACGGAGGTGAGAACGGTAGAGGAGTGGTCTACATTTATCACGGTGGTGAATCTGGAATAGCTGAGAAATACTCACAAGCTATCACCGCGGAGGAGATCAGCGATTCGCTCACCACCTTCGGATTTTCATTGTCCGGTGGAGTCGATTTAGATGACAACCACTACACGGATTTGGCTGTTGGGGCTTATAAATCTGATAGTGTTGTTTTTCTGAAGTAAGTTACTTATTAATATTTGTTTCGAATTCTTACTCGAATGTCTCGAGTGTCTATTTTAGTTAGATTCATTTCTATTAGATCAATAAAGTCGGGGAATTTACTTTTTAATAATTTAGCTATTTCCATGGACCGTTTTCTTTTCACAAACAAACAGATAGATAATACGAGCACACAATATTAAATGGACACTGGGGCCCATTTATACCGAATAAGAACTAAATTGCAAATTCATTGTCACCTCTGTGGACTAAGATGGCATTCCTTGTTACTAGTAATAAGGGTTTCCGGTTTTCTACTCTTATCATATGAAACACAGCAAGCATTAGGCTGCTATTTTATGCAGGTATTCTGTCAGAGTATGGTCAGAATCAGAATATTTATTGTCAGTAAATATTTCCCAGTCAAATTATAATATTACAGTTGCGCCGTGTCTCTAACACATACAAATTAAACTCTCTGCTAGCCTATTAAATTCATAGATGATTAAAGTTATTCATTATCATTATCATATGCCTATGGAAATTCCACTTGCTGAACATAGGATTCCCCCATAGACTGCCTCATATGAGGGAAATATTATAATCATGCCAGTTTCTGCTACTATGACATCCGGCGTACTCTGTTACTTGATATGTTACATAAAATTCTTTGATTTCTAAGTTATGTTATTTGCTTATACAAACTTTTGTTTTAAGATCCCGGCCAGTAGTAAAGGTGATGGCTGCAGTGAAGTTTACAGAAGTATCCAAGTTAATTTCGATGTCAGACAAGAATTGTCGCCTAGCTAACGGCACCGAGGTCTCCTGCGCACACCTCATGTACTGCCTCTCGTACAACGGCATCAATGTCGACCAGCAGATAGGTAAGATTGGAAAAAGCTTAACACTTGGAATCGGATTGGCCAAACTTTTTTGTAACATTAAAATTATAGACTTACTTGTAACATTAAAATTATAGACTTACTTGGATTCTACTTGATGGTAAGACAGGCCACCGATAAATTAGGCGACTAAAACTCTGCTTTCGATTTCATCTTTATGAAAATTGGTTAATGCAAAATGTCGTAATAATGTTTTAGTGTTTTAAGAAACCCATGACAAATATTATATTATAAGTAATAGATATGTATATGGTGAACTATATATTTTTAATCAAAGCTTCCATATAAGGACTCCTTTATATACACGTGAAATTTATTTAGCACTGTGTTATTATTATGTTTATTATGTGTATTGTATTTATTAACTATTGTGTAAACTATGTGTACATTGTGTTTGTTTTCTCTGTTCCAAGCGGAAGGATATATTTGTTACTTCGGTGAGTTGTTGAAGTAGCAAAAAATTGGCTCGAACTTCAAAATTATGCTCATATTAGTGAATAATTTCATTATTAATTCCATAATACGCTGTTTAATAAAGCCATAAATTATATTCCTTGTTATTTTAATTACATAATATATATTTTCTGTTTGCACTTAATTAATAGTGACCTGATATGAAAGTAATGGATGACGATATGCAAAATGTCCTTTGCTATTATAGCACACTAATGTCGTCAGCAATACAGACCTAAACCTTAATTGCAAAATTTTACATGTAAATAAATTAAAAATAATTTTTTTTATTTAGGATGTTAATAATGAGATTATATTTTGTAAATAAAATTTATGTTAGAGACGCACCAACTAACCGCTAGTGACACTTAAATGTTATATGTTATATTAAGTCACGTGATACTTAAATAGTAATGTATATTATTAGGACATGGGGGGTTTACCTGTGGTGGGGCTCGATACCAGCGTAAAATAACAGCTTAATGGTGCTGTGTTTCGGCATCCACTTAATATAAGAGGAACTGTGTGCTCGTGTGTCGTTTGTCACCCTTATACTATACAAAAATCTACTACCCCATGTCCTGCCGCGAGTGTCATAAGACGCGATGGAGGGAAACAAACCAGGACATGGGCATCAGCGTCCCCTTACTCTATCCATATAAATAAAATTGAATTGTCTGTCTGCAGTATTAAAATAACTGGTTTCTAATAACCTTAGAGGGTTATTTGCTTGTTTGCATGCTATTTAGACATAAATAACCATTTTTAAATAATTTGTCCGTCTGTCTCCGGGCTACTCTTGGGAATCGCTGAACCGAGTGCGACGAAATTTTACGACAGATAGAGAACAACGTCTGGAGAGATTTAGGCTATATATTATATGATAAACTTGAAGTTTAAAAAAACCGAATACTTTTTATTAATAATTTTTATAGGATGGGGAGCCGTGGTAGCTCAGATGGTTAGCGCTCGCTGTAAATTTTACAGTACGCGAGCAAACCGGGTTCGATCCCCGCCGGCACCAATGAAATTGTTAATTGCAATTTTAAGTGCTGATTTACCGCGTGCTCGGCGGTGAAGGAAAACATCGTGAGGAAACCTGCATGTCAGAGAAATAAGAAAAAAAAATATTTCGAAGACATGTGAAGTTCGCCAACACGCATTGGGGCAGCGCGGTGGACACTTCCTTGCCCTAAAACCCTCTCAGAAATGAGAGGAGGCCTGTGCTCAGCAGTGGGACGTATATAGGCTGTAACTTTACTTTACTTTTACTTTATATGATAGGGTGACAAACAAGCACACAGTCCACCTGATAGTAAGTGGTTGCTGCGGTCCATAGACACCTACATGTATCCTCGATTGCGAATCAAAATGCAGTTGCGTTGTCACCCGCGAGGACTAAGATGGATTGCCTCATTTCCAGTAATTAGGGGCTCCGGTTCGGTACACTCACCATACTATTTCGGTTTAAAGATCCTTATTTCTCAATAAGACAATCGTCACTTACGTGAGAACAATAACTATATAAATTTAGTAATAACAATTTTTAGTGTGGGTATATAAATAAAACTTTGTTGGATGTCGCTTTTAAGAAGCGAATATCTTTGTTGCTTATTCAAATTGTAAGGTGGTGGTGGACCAAGTTAAATAATGTTTTTTTTTTTAACTTTTATTTAATAATGATTTAGGTTAGGTATTTAGCTGTTGTAAGTATAGGTAGGCAAGTAACTTCCGTTTGAAAGCATTCAAAGATTTCGCATCCTTTACAAATTTAGGTAGTTTGTTGTATAACTGTGCTCCTTTATACGTTATATTATTTTTACCGTAGTTTGTTCTTATAGGCGGCAATACAAAGTGACTAGCTCGGCGTGTTATATATTTGTTTGTTTGCTTCTTTTTTAAAAACGTGAGTTGTGTGTGGATTAATTTATGTTTTATTTTGTATATTAGTATTTTACGCTGGTATTCTGTGAGAGCGTGGTCCTTCCCCGGTCGAGCCGACCCATTCGTGCTACAACTATACTACTAATATAACTGCAGTATAGGAGGATTTCTTTTTAAAAGAAATCCTCCTATAGAGATCTAGCCGGCGTTTGCCAACTCGCCTAGCAAGCGTGGCAACTATGACGCAAACGTGGGAGGCCTATGTTCAGCAGTGTAATTATGAAGAATGGATGACACGGCACATAACGTGAACACGGTCCAAACCATTTAGCGGTTCTAGTACGAGATGTAGCGCTCCTTTACTTTTTCTTTGTGTTTTAGTGCATTTTTCTAAACCTAGCCGTTGAAATACTGCGAAACTACAATCTGTCGAGACACCCAAAACTTTCTTTCCCATGTTATATATTATGTTTTTATGATAATTGGTTAGATAAATAATAATAATAATAATATCCTCCAGACCGAATTTCGGTCACGGCGGCCTGCTTCAATGAAGACTAGCCATCGGCGCAGGACAGGATTATAGTACCCAAGTGCGCAAGCACAGGTGCACTCTCTATTCCCTCACTCTCATAGTCCGATAGGACGGTAAACCGACATGACTGGAGAGAGATCAGGCGCAGGACCAACTTGCTTTTCGGCTTTACTTGCTTTTCGACACTCGGGGTGAGCATTCGCCAACTTCCTGACTCCGGGCAGCTACTGAGAATTACTTGACGAAAAAACTCAATAAATGATTTTTAGGCCCCACCCGGGATTTGAACCCAAGACCTCATATTCAGCAGTCGTACTACTACAATCACTTTACCAACGAGGCAGTCGATATGATAGATATGTATGTAAATAAATATGTATAACTAAATTACGTTACAAGAATAAGAGTTCCTGTTATTCTTGTTATGTAACTGATGTCTGCTTCCTTGGTCTAATAGACTGCTGATCATGAGATTCCGAGTCGAGAAAAAATTAATAATTAGATTTTTGTATCAAGAAATTTTCGGTAGCAGTCCGGGATCGGAAAATTGTCAATGTTTCACACACATGCTTCGGAATGCACGTAAAGCCGTTGGTTCTGCGCCTGGTCTCTCTCCGGCCGTATCGGATTGCTGTTCCGTCGGACTATGAGAGTGGGAGAATAGAGAATGCATGTGTGCTTGCGCAGACACTCAGGCACTATTATCTTGTCTTACGCAGACCGGATGCCTAGGCCGAAATTCGGACATTATTATGATACTTATTATAAAAATTAAAGATTACCCAAAATCAGTAAGTTATGAATACTAATATACTTTTAGTGTCTGTTAATTGAGAGTAGATCAACCTAAATAGAGGTTACGTTCAGTGTTATCTCTAGTTTTACGTTCACTGTTTCATGAAGCTTTATGTCTGGCAGATTTCGAAGTGACCCTCGAGCTGGACTCGCGGCAGAAGACCAGCAAGCGTATGTTCGTATTCGACACGCGGCAGACGATCTACAAGACACACATACTGCTGACCCAGGGCCAGGAAGAGTGTAGGGAGATGGTCGTATATCTTGATGTAAGTTTTAAAATTATTTATATTTTCTAAGTATTCTCGAAATAATTATGTAGGTATATGTCACGTCATTGCGGCGTACGATAAAGCAGCACCGTATTGCATCCTGTGGATGGTGTAAGAGGCGACTGGCAAAGAGCTAGAAAACTATAGAGCCTTAAATAAACGCTGGTAAACCATTTTATATATTATGCCAGGTTTGAAATCAAACAGTCAGAGGTATAACAGTGGGACAGCGTCAAACGTGAAAGGCTGATGATTTAGAAGAAAATAGATAATTCTATACCCTAAGTGAGAAATTATTTTATACATTTGTATATAAAACTGGTTTCCCGAAGACGGTTCTGACGATTTTAATGACATTTTGTATTTAGATGAAGTTTTACTTTCAAAATTTATCCACATAGGCAGGTAACAAGCATTGCTGAGAAAACTTTTTAACGTCGATCAAAGCTTGGTCGTCGAAGTCATTAAATCTTAAACTAGAGAGAGATGAACTGAAAGAGGAAAAATCATCAGATTGTACTTACTTCTAAATATTTTTAAAAATTTTAAATATTGAAGTCAGTATCAAAACTTGAAAAAATTTATCATAAATAATGAGTAGAGGATTGAGAGAGAGAGAGAGAGAGAGAGTGAGAGGGGGGGGGGGTTAGCCAGAGACTAAGGTCGTTTATTTGGCATCCTCTGACACATTTACCTTCTTTCTACTAACCGTCCCGGGTGACAAGCGTGAGAATGTGTCAAAATTTTCAAGATTGAAAATTTTTACTAGTGCTACAATTCAAGGGTGATGGTAGCGAGGCTATTTTTGTTTTACGTTATGTTTTTATTTGATCATATAGATTTTAAATTTCAGGAGGAGATTCGTGACAAACTGAGTCCGATAGAAGTGAAGATGACGTACGATCTCATCACTCAACCATCAGGAGATGTGGTTCCGCCTGTGTTAGATCAAACGAAGAGCATTGTGCACACAGACTCTCTAAATATTCAGAAGAACTGTGGCCCGGACAACGTTTGCATTCCCGATATGAGCATGGCTGTTACGACGTAAGTGTATTCTTGCCGTATAGTTGTGTCGTTTCTAATTGTTTTCTTGATTAAAATGTGTTGCCTATCACGCGGAATAAGTTTTTATTTTATGAGTTTTGTTTAAACACTTATGAACAATTATAGTTTTTTCATTATTCAGTGACGCGTTAGCTATGAAATCGGATGATTGGTTTTAGCAGTAACAATCTAAGTGACTATAGTAATACTGGCGTATTTAAACTCACGCTTCCATTTTTACTCATAACAAAGTAACAAATCAAAAAGGATTATTTATTTTTTCGGAACAACATCACAATCAATCTACGTTGGAAGAATAGACATTGTTTTTTTAATTTTTTAAGCCTTTAGATAAAATTGAACCCTATTACCGTAGTGAATGAGTTTATTTTGAAATTCTTTGTTAGGACTATTTACATATTTAATAGCTTTTTACTTTTTATGCTTTACAGGCCAGTATCAAACTACATTCTGGGCTCAGGGGAGAATTTGAATATCGATGTAAAAATACACAACTACGCTGAAGACGCATACGAGGCCGCCTATTTCCTGCAGATACCCGCTGGTGTAAATTACACCAAAATTGAAAGGCTGGACAAGGACAATGCGGATGCGTCGCCGATCTACTGCTCAGTGAAGTACACGGGAAGCGGAAATAGTACTTTAAGGTGTGATTTGGGGAACCCTATGGCCAGTGATCAGAAGGTTTGTAATCTTTTATACAAATGTGAAATAACAAATGAAATCACTGTCCACCTGATGGAAAGTGGCTACTGCAATCTACCCAAATGGGCTCCTGGCCAGAAAAAGAGTGCTACCTTCTAGTTCTACCAACAAATTTTATTTTTTTGCAGAAAATAGTATAGGAAGATTTAACCTTGTGTTTAAAAATATTTTAATATTTTTTTTAAATACTATCGTCATTATTATCAATATCATTTACCCATAAAAAGTCCTCGCCTATAGTGTTCTCCCATAAAAGGGAAGAATTTTCATGGTCGCCAGGCATTGCTATTGTGGAGAATGACGATCGCTGTATTAAATTTTGCTACCTCTGATGCTGCTCCCGACATACACGAGTTCGTACCGCCATCTATTGGAGGCAACAAGATGTTTGGGAATTTCAAAAAATATAAAATTTTTCAGAATTGGTAATTTTTTTGTCCACACTTGCAGGTGAACTTCCGCGTTGTTTTAGAAGTGGACGCACAAGTGACTAATCTAATATTTGACATGGAGGCAAACTCGACTAACCCGGAGCCTGAGGCGTCCAGGAAGGACAACAAGGTGCACTTGGCTATAGGTGTTATTGCGAAAGCCGATTTATTAATCATTGGGTGAGTACTTGTCGACTCTTTGACTTGCTTGTTGGTCTATTGGTCATAAGCGTGCCTGCTGATCGTGTGGTGCGGGTGCATATCCTGGGTTTGGCGAAATTCAGTTATTGGGCTATTATATTAAGGATTTCACAAGAGCAGTACGGAGTCAGAAAATTGGCGGTATTTCACCCCAAGCCTCGGAGAGTACGTAAAGCCAGTGGTCCTGGTTCTGATCTCTCTCAGATCGTGTGTAATTACCATCTCATTGGATTATAAGAGTGAAGGAATGAACAGTGCATCTGCATTTATGCATACACTCGTGTACTGTAATCATGTCCTGCGCAGATGGCTAGTCTCCGCGGCTAGTATGTCTGCAGTGACTAAATTTAGATCTCGAGGACATTATTGGTTATTACAGTGACCAAATTTAGACTTCGAGGACATTATTTGTTACTACAGTGACCAAATTTAAATCTCGAGGACGTTATTGGTTTCCCGCAGAGGGCTCCCACGATTTAAACGATATTTTGTATTTAGATGAAATTTTACTTTCCAAATTTATCTATATAGGCAGGTGTCAAGCATTGCTGAGAAAAAATCTTTAACGCTGATCATAGCTTGGTCTCCCAGGTCATTACATATTAAATTAGAGAGAGAGAGAGAGAGAGTAATTGAAAGAGGGAAAATCATCGAATTGTTGTAACTTCTATCTAAATGTTATTAAAACTTTTAAATATTGAAGTCACTACCAAAACTTGAAAAAATTGATCATAAATAATAAGTAGAGGATTGATCTCCCTACTTTCTACCAACCCTTCCCACATACCCAACATATAATGTGTTAGAATTATTAATTTTAGTTATTTTACTTTTATCTATCGAAGGTAAAAGTATGGTCTATGATTTAACTGTATTTTTAAGTTAAGAATTTCTGACCAACAAAAAAGAACCCCTTCGTCGTGTCTCCCGGCGTCGATATATCGAGTGACGGTCAGTTTCGTAGTTACTTGGAAGAGAAGACCAAATTGGCCTCTAAAATGTTTGGCGTACTCAGCAGAGCGGGACAGTATTTCATGCCGGAACACCACTTGCAACTTTACAAGGTGAAGTTTGGCCGCAGATGAAATATTGTTCCCATCTCTGGCCTGAGGCTCTCCAGTGCCAGCTTCTTCTATTTGATCGCATCGAGCGCATTGCCGTTCGAATCGTCGGTGGCTAAGCTCTTTCCGATCGCCTTGACTCACTGGCACTGCGAAAAGATGTTGCATGTCTTTGCGTATTTTATCGCATTTACCACGGTAAGTGCTCTGAGGAATTGTTCGGAATGATTCCAACCGCACAATTTCTACATCGCACACTGCAACAAAACTCGCGATACTCCTCGCACGACTTTCTTGTGGAATCGACTACGCCAGTGATTTTTCCGGACTGATACGACTTAGGGACCTTCAAGAAAACAGCCTTCTCCTTTTTAAAAGCCCGGCAACGCACCTACAATTCCCCTGGCTTTGCCATTGTTCATGGGCAGCTGTAGTCACTTACTATCAGGTGAGCCGCATGCTCGTTTGCCCCTTCTTCTATAAAAAAAAAACTCAATTCAAAAACTAAGCCAAAACCATACTCAACTTATTGTAAGATACCCGCACTCGCGTATTACACACATGTGTATCTAAAATCATTTGCAATTAACAATATGGTTTTAGGTGCATATGTGTGCGTTCAGGAGTGATCATTTATGGGTTTATAAAGAAAGAAGTGTGCGCTTGACACACTCGTCAAGAGTTTGAGCAAGGTTTCGGCATCACTAAAAATTTACGTTATACTCCCTCACATTCTTTAGGTATAAGATAATCTATATAATCTACCTAGATTATATTGATTATTTACTTATTTAATCTACCTAGAATATAGATTATTTAGGTACATAAGATGTTCAATAATTTGATATAAGATTTAGAATATGTTTTTTACTTAATCTATTAACTTCCTTTCCAGAACATCTGACCCGCCGGAGCTTCACTATAACGCATCTCTGTACGAAGCACAAAACCTGAAGAACGACTCCGGGCTTGGACCGCAAATTATTTACAAATATAATATCAAGAACGAGGGACCGATCGCATTGGATGAGGCAGAGATTTACATCATGTGGCCTTATCAGACCCTCACAGGTTAATAATTACCTTATTTTACTTCTGTTCGATTGTTTTTTTTTTGAAGTATATACCTCTTCAAATTTACATCCATAGTGAGAGGAAAACTCACGATAATAAACTCAGGGGATACAGTTTGGTGTTGCAGCTTCATATCTGTAATCTACATTCAAAATGTAATTACACCACTCGATAGGTGAGACGCATCGCGCGTGGCGGAGGGAGGAGTGCTGCCATTTTGAGGTCGTTTCAATAAAAAATATTACGTACACGTATTTACGTAAAAGGCGATTTTTTAAACTTGCATATTTTTTGGGTTCCATATTATAATCTTTATAGGGCAAATAATTCGCCATGCTGTTCTAATGCTCATAAGAGCACATGTTGCTGATGAACCGCACTAAAATTCATTCAAAAACAATTCCATTAATGCCGGCGGGGTTCGAAACCGGCTTGCTTGCGAACTGTGCTATTTACAGCGGGCGTTTATCTGTGCTACCTCAGAAGAAGAGCTAATTTAGAAGTGTGTTTGTTAACATGAAATAATTTATCATCAGGTGGGATATTAGTAGTAAAACAAAACAAACAAGGTAACAACTCAATAACGAACCACCTTTATTCCAGGAGAAAGCTTGATGTATATGCTGGTACAGCCGCAGTGGCTAGGCAACATGGTGTGCGATGTCGCTCACCAGATCAATCCCGGTGACTTATTTATATCGAACCCTTACGCCTTCATGCTGGCAAAGGAGAAGGAAGGTCAGTATGCTATTTAAGTGTCTCGTCTTATATGTAACATTTTATGATATAAAAAGAAATATTCACCTGATGATAAGTGGCTATTGCGGCCAACGGAAAAGGTGAAAAAGGCCTATGTATTGTGTATTGTTTACTTTAAACAAAATTAATAACTTTCTAAAATGTTCTAATATATTGTATTTTATTGAATTTATTTTAATTAACTGTCTGTATTCTTCAAAATAATAATATACGGACAAAACACTTTTTTTTTTTTTTTTTTTTAAAAATTTTTTTTTAAAAAAAAAAAAGCTTTTTTTTCTTTCTTTTAAAATAGAGTATGCAGCTTAATACTGTTGTATTTTGTCTGGTGAGTGCAGAGATCCGGAGATCCTTTTTAACTGGAATCGAGGCATTCCATCTTAGTCCTCAGGACCGACAACGCATCTGCATTTTGATTTTTATGTATCTATGATAAATGTAGTAGAGGTGGGCGATGCAAACCGTATACTGATACGAAATCAATATATATTGGTACAATATCTAAAAACCGCTTACTGGTTCGTTCCAAAACTATGTATTACAAAATCTAATATTTGCGTACCGCCGCGATGCTTATATCGCTTCGCATCGGTCGGTCGCTAGATTCGTTCCATAACTATGTATTATACAAAATCTGATATACTGCCGCAATATCTATATCGCTCCGCATCGGTCGGTGGCTAGAATTGCCGTGTGCGATAGTGCGCGAGTATATGGGTATTAGATTAGACATGTCGGAAAATTTAAATCTTATATTTGTAAACTACCTAAATTTCATTTAACTTCCCTAGTATTTATTTTTCCAACTTTTTAAATATATCTCTTAAAATATTTTGATAAAAATGTAAAATAAATAATATTAAACTGACGCGCTTCGTTAAAATTACTATAAAACAATACCTGAGCCAATATCGTAACAACTAAGTACACAAAGTTTAACATCAATCACTAATGAATTAAGTCAAAAGCGTTTTCAACACCTCAAAAGTTTTAACGGCAAACGGTTTATTTTTATGATAATTTTCAACCACAAGTTCAGTATTAAATATTGCATATAAGTTTAACTTTAAGTATAGCAAATAATTGTTACATTCCTTATTTTTAGACATGTGAAACCTAAATTTTAATGAAATAAATCAAAATAATACCGTCGATTGTTTTGGATGGTCTTGAATTACAAACTTATTATACGATTTCAATAGCCTATCGGAGTAGAAAATAGTATAAATGCGTACACAGAAATTGAAATATATAGTTTTGACATCAGATATTGAAACTCGAAATCCGATATAGATACGATTCTCAGAAAACGCGATACGACCCAGGCCTAAAATGTAGATGTCTATGGGCCACAGCATCCACTTACCATCAGGTGAACTTTGTGCTCGTTTGTCATCCCTATTCTATATAAAAAAGAATATATTGATTGATAATTAAAGTGGTTTGCGCCAGTTACATTTATCCGAACTAAGTCTATATCTTATTCATGATCATCATTATCACCGGCCGTAAAAGTGGCTAGTTGACATAGGACTCTCTCCCTCTAGTGCTGGTGGACTTTGTCACGCTTTGCAGGCGGATTGACGACCACAGTGCAAATGTAAATGGTATGATTATACCGCCATCTATCGGAAGCCATGCAATCTCTTTGGCATTACTTATATCACCGCTTAAGATATTCACGGGATGGAATGGTGTGATCGATCCTCTGACGATGCAACCAGAGGCATATTTCATACTTTAATAAGTTTTAAATTTTTGCAGCAATGTTGAACAGCGGAATGTATGCGGCTGCGCAGTTGTCTGGAGGAGGTGGATATTATGGACAACGTATGTATATCACGATTCAATCAATAATCATTTCTGTGTTTTCATAATCTATTCTTTTTTTCCTCTGCATTACTTTTTACATTTATAATGGTCGTAAAGAACTACATATATACAAAAACGTTATCTATATGCGGCATAAAACGAAAGGATTGGTTTGCTGACAACTTCGCACTTGAAACGTCCATTTGAAGACACCGTCGTAATACGTCACCATTTTAATGACGCCATTTTAATAAACATTAACGACGTATTATGACGGTGATTATTATTATCTGTTATTTTCAATTGAAAGGAAATTATAACAAAATAAGATATAAAAATAATAAAAATTTAAATACAAATAAATATTTATTAAATATAACGTGTTTGCACATCACAACCGATAAATGTCTGTTTGTCAATCCTATTCTTTACGTGCAAATAGAAAATGATAATATAAGAACTATATGCACAATATTTTTTTACAGAGTATTGGGAGCAGCAGGTATTTACAAATGGAAATATGAATACACAAAGTGGTCAAGTATCTGGTAACCAGTATAGCCAGGTTTCTAGCGGTCAATTGGGAAGTGAACAAAATTTTAACGGTCAATACGGGTCTGGCCAGGGCCAATATGGTAGCGAACAAGTTTCTGGTGGTCAGTTTGCCAACAGCGGAAGGCAATTTAGCGGCGGCGCTATGGAAAGCGGTGGCCACACTGGTGGCAATTATGTTTATAACAGAACCTGGTCTAGTAGTGATCATTTTGGTGAAGATTTAACACCTGAACAACGGGAACAGATAAGAAAAGCATTATTAGCGGCCGCACAAAATCCTAACTACCAAGGCTCTGTTGAAAGTAAAATCTCTGAAGGTAGCTACAGTCAAAACGGTCAAGTACAGGGCCATGGTCAAAGTTCTGGTCAAGGAAGTCAAGGAAACTATGGACATGGAAGTCAAGGAACTTATGGCCAAGGAAGCCTTTACGGCCAAGGAGGAAGCTATGAAGGTAGCCAACAAAGTGGCTATGGACAAAGTAACGGAAACCGTGGTTTCGTTCAAGGTGGTCAGGGTCAGGTATTTGAAAACGCCGGTGCATACGGACAGGGTGGCCAAATAGTTAGAGTGAGGAACAAGACGATCCTTTATGATGAAAACCATAATATCATTTCTCAATCTGAAACCAGCACCGAGTACGGGGCCTTGGGGCACGAAGGTGAAGCTGGCAGTTCTTTTAACACGTAAGTTATTATTGAACTATGTCGTTTTAGTCAGAAAATCAGATAGCATCATTAATTAGATGAAAATTTGTTATTGATCTTATTGTTTTTAAAGTAAATTAATTACTATTTACTTCCATTTACATTTACTATATAACTTTCATTAGAAACATTTAATCTCCCTGCAGTCCTTTCATTGTAACCTATTTACAGATCATAGCGTATGTACATAAATGTACTTCTAGCTTCGTACATATAGCGCGAATTACACCTGGCATGCTAAAACTTAGATCAAATACTTATTACGTTGCGAACACGACTTCAAAAATGTGAATAAAATTAATAAATAAATTAAAATGTATGTATCGCAATTCTAATCATATCCACCCCACTTTACGAACGGCAATAAAACGATAAAATTGGTAGGCATCTTTGACCTTGTCGTTTCGCAGGCAAAGTAACTGTTAAAAAAAATTAAAACGTTTATTTCAAAATCAATGCCATAGGCTTTTAGTTCGTTCACATGCTACACCCTATTTTTTCCAGAAGGTAAAAAAGATCACCAGTATGTGTTTAAATTTAAATATGACCATGTAAATTTATATACGTATATATATATATATATATATATATATATATATATATATATATTTTTTAACATGTAACATAATTAACGCACTTTGAGAAAGTAGTTTGTTCAGAATCGTTTACTGAATTGATTCTTATCATTTTTAATATAGGTAATTTTTTATCCCAAAAATAATTAAAACTACGTAAATTACAGTCACACTAAATCTGTACAGTCAAAACAAACTGAAATGGACCGTAACTTAAGGCAATAAAACTTTTAAGAGTGCAGTTTTATTTGTATTCTTAATTCTTCTGAATTGTATTACTAATTCTGTCATTCAATAAAAATAAAAAGAAAAATAAACTATATTTCAAGCACGTTAAAGTCTTTGCATTCGTGGATTTGTACTGTGACCACAAAATTCTTCCGGAATTAGTATAACTAATTTGATAAATAATCAGTGCATAAAAATGTTTAACTAAAGATTCAGTGTATGTATTATGATTATAACATAATATACTAATTGGGGTGTCTGAGGGTGTGCGTTAATTACGTTACATATTGTATATATATATATATATATATATATATGGTATATGTATTTTTCAATATAGAAGGTTTATATTTATAAAAAAAAGCCATGGTCTTTATTTTGGTAATGATTATGATAGTAGTAAAAAAATATAAAATTAAAGTTTTGATGGTAGGATTACGTGGTAGGACACTTTTGCCGCTTACCCGCTTACCAAAATCTGCCGCCAAGTGATCAGCAATCAGCCGAAGTATTAGTCCGTTTGTCATATTAATATTGTTAAAAAAAATCTTTCCAGTTACGTGAACAGTCAAGCAGGCAACCAAAACCGAGGCTCCGGGCGAGGCTTTGTTCATGGCTCATGGGCAACTACCGAAACCGTAAACTCTGATGTAATGAAGGCCGGCTCTAGTAGATTCAGAGGAGAGTCCAGCGTCACTGTGGTTGGCGATGAGGAAGATGAAATAGGCGGTTTTGGGGCTTACGCGGCCAGGAATCCTAATAACGAGTTTAAATTTGGCATCGCTGACGTATCCGGAAGTCAAGATAGCCACAGTTCCGGAAGAGCTCAAGGGGGTTCTGGGGTTTACCAGGCAAGTTATGGAAACGGTCAAGGCGCCGGTTACCAAGGAGGCGCCGCTGGTATCCAAGGCGCGAGCTATCAAAGTGGTGGTGCTTACGTTAGCAATGGTGGATCCAGCTACTCATACTCTTCACGATCGGGTAATTGCTTATAGTACTCAAAATTTCATTTCGCAATAAAATAATTTTATTAGGTGCTAAGACTAATTAAACAGATTTTATTGGCTAAATACACAAGCGCTGTTCAATTTTAAGATGCCGTGACAGCACGAGGGCTGTCTCTATTACTTTAAATCAAAGAATAGAATAGAATAGAATAATTTTTTATTCAATATAGATAGCAAGTAATCCTTATTTAAAGTCAATTTTTTACTTTTCCCTTTGTTCAAAAAAAAAACCTCTACCTGGGAAGAACCAACAAGAAACCCAGCGGGACTTTTTTTTAAATAAATTTTACAATGTCAATGGTCACAAAATATTTACAAAATTTATTTTAGAAACAACTTGGAAGCAACCATCTCATTCCCGGTTTATACAGTTTTTGTTTAATTAAATTTAAACTTGGTATAGAGAGACCTTGTATTTTTTCCGGGACTTTGTTGTAATAGCGTATACATTGCCCCAAGAATGAATTACTGACTCTGTGGAGTCAAGAAACTGGTATCACTAGCTTGTATTTGTTCCTAGTGTTTACAGAGTGAATATCACTTTTTTTTACTAAAACTACCTCTGTTTTTGTGAACATACATCAAATTTTCATAGATATACTGAGAGGCCAAAGTTAATATATATTTATTTCTTTAAATTTTTCTCGAAGAGACTCTCTGGGTTTAAGGTTATAAATAGCTCTTATGGCCCTCTTCTGCAAAACAGAAATTATTTCTAAATCAGCCGCATTCCTCCATAGGAAAATCCCATATGACATTATGCTGTGGAAATAACTGAAATAAACTAATCTAGCTGTCTCGACATTAGTGAGATCTCTTTTTTTACAGCATAAGCTGAGCTTAGTCTGCTTGCTAATTTAGATATATGGGGGCCCCACTGAAGCTTAGCATTGAGAGTAATGCTAAGAAAAACAGAGGATTCAACGGGACTCAGTTCATCCCCATTTAAAAACACATTAGTACTCGAATTATTAACATTTGTTGTTGTAAATTTAATATATTATTGCCGTTTAAGTGAAAAAAAAAAAACGTTAAACCAATGCACTAATTTAGATATAGCATTATTCACTTTATCACATTTAAATGATTGACGTTTAAGTTAAAAACCAAGGTAATAAAGGCAAATAATACTATATCATGATTGTCCCCTACAAGGAAAGGTAAGTCTATATCTAAAGTAATATACATTAAAAATAGGAATGGGCTAATAATTGAGCCCTGAGGGACACCCATTGATAATAACTTTCTGCACTCTATTACTTAAATATGAAATGACTAGTTTAAGCGCTGTGTTCTTGAAACAATAGTACTGTAGCTTCCTGATTAATGTCTTATGGTAAACATGGTCGAAGGCCTTGGAAAGGTCATAAAATATACATCCTTAAATCGATCAAAATCAGCATCCTCCGAATTCTCCCATGCACAAAATATTTAATTTTTAATTTATGTTATGTTACGACCCACGGAAAGGGCATTCCACAGTCTCGGGTTAACGATTGATTGATTTGTAATGGAATAATATCGCGACTTTAGTGGACTTTGCTCGTTTGTCCCTTTTAGCTCAACTCCGGCATCGATTGTCGAGCGACACCTTGTAAAACCAAATTAACTTGTATGGAGCAATTTATTTTTATTAAAAAACTTATCATCGGATGTAAATTTTTTTTTCAAAAGTGACTGACACCACGAGACTTAACGATATCTCAAAATTGAGTAGCGTTTGAATTGTCTATTTTATATGGCTATATGCTTGCAGCTTAACACCATCGTAGTCATCATTACAATCTATCAAAAACCCACATAGACCTCTCACGTAGATAAGCGGGTTGGCACCAGCCTTTGTGCTGTTAGCGTGTAGTGGTAGAGTAAAAATATCCGCTAGCCCATATCATCCCATGGGTGTCGTAAAAGGCGACAGAGGGAAAGAAACTAAAACGATGATGGACAACAGCATCTTCCTGATAATAACTGAAAATAATAATAATAATGCATAAATTGCCGAAATTCTATAAAACTATCAAACATATGCTTTTAGTTGCTGATAGATAAGAATTTTCTTTATATTACTTCATATTTTTCTATTAAAACGTGCGATATAATATTATTTAAACTCCGAGAAAAGTGTTTAGACACATTAAGTTAGGCAAAATGGGTCGGTTTGAATCTCAATTAAGATGCAGATATGTTATCATCTCTGAAGACTGTGTTAGTTCTCAGAGGTGATAACATATCTCTCTAGTTTGAAGATAGTGTGAGGGACTACTAGCTCATGATATATCTGTTAAATAAAATGGAAATGGCTCATGACCCGTGAAATTGTCTTTAGGTCAAATAAAGCAGCTTTATGGTGCCATTTCACGTCAGTATTCTGTATAAGAACGTGGTCCTCCCTCGTTATAGCCAACCTATTCGAATAATACATTTTAGCGTGTACCTATCACGTTTAATATTAAGTTGATCATATTTGTGTACAGGTGGTCAACGAAGCTACGGTTCACACGCTGGTGGTACCTATAGTTATTCACAACAAAGCCGTGAAAGTACAAGGCGGAGACGTCAAGATGAGGTGAGACATTAAACATTCCATTAATACGAAGACATTAAACATTCCAAAAATAAAGGTGGATCTTCAATTAAGTATCAAAATGTAGTTGCGTTTTCACCCTTGAGGACTAAGATGTAATGCCTCATATCCAGTAATATGGGTCTCCCGTTCTTTACATTCAGCATACGAAACACAGCAGCACTAAGCTGCTATTTTACGATGGTATTCTGTGAGAGCGTGGTCCTTCATTAGTCAAGCCAACCTATTTGTGCTACACCCGTAATATATATGTAATGTACCGTAATGTATAAAGCTGCAGCGTGGTTTCACCACGTGTTAATTAAAAGAACGACATTTTTTTGTTCATTTTTCTTTTTCTTTTTTAAACTCTCTACTGCCAGACAATAGCGAAAATAACAGTAGAGACGACAATTGTGCTTTGTTATTTTCGTTTATATACTTGTAATATAAATTTTTGAAAATACTTTCAACACTTGTTTTGCGGCAAATCGTTAAAAATCAATTCCATTGGAGCTGGCGAGAGTCAAACCAGCGCCCGAATGGCTTGCATACTAAATTTACGGCGAGCACTTAGGTCTTGTGCTACCACTGTTCCTAGCTTGAAAATAGGTGTAATAATTGCTTTGTTCCTAGGTGGATTTGGAACTAAAAGAGATGCTGCAAAGATGTGAAGAGAAGTACAAGTGCGAGGTGGTGCGTTGTCGGACGAAAAGACTTGCAAAGGGTCAAGAAGTCTGGGTAGCACTAAGATCAAGAATAAACGTGACTGTCCTGAACAAGGTAATCCGGTTATTTATGTTACAAGTTCATTATATCTACATATAAATTTTATTTTCTATATTTAAATATAGTTTTCATACATTATTGATAGTAAATTTTGTGCGTTGTACGGCAAAAACTGGGGAAATAATCAGCTGTTGGAAAAAGGTGGATAATTAAATTCATTCGTTTAAAAAACACACACAAACACTCAAAATTGTTACTTTATACGACATTTTGTGCGAAAACGGAGTTTAAAGTTGATACAGTTAAAAATATTGAAATTTATTTCATGCATTTGAAATTACTTTTCTCACATTTTTCTAATTAATATGGTAAATAATTATGAATGTTGGGTAAAAACATTTAAAATAACGTAATTTACATAAAATTTTACTCGCAAGTACAAGTTTTATTTCAAGCACAATTTAGGTAAAAAAAAGGTGAGGTGGTGCAAGGAACAGGCAGTTATTTTGAGAGCTAAGGAACCCATAAAGGTTTTGAAATTATCAAGAATTTATTCAGTTAGGGTTGAGTAATTTTTTTCAAGCCATAATCAAATAAAATTTTCTATCAAACAGAAAATTTAATTTTTTGAGCTACATCTGAGCAACTAGTAGTTAGAATTTTTGTGTTTAGTATTTTTACAAACGAACACACATGCTAGTCATAATACTGACAAAAAAATCTAAAAATTACTTCACAGAAAAAATTGTAGCTAAAACCATTAAAAATAAAAAAAAAACTGAAAAAAAAACGAAACAAAAAAACGTGCATGCCTTCGAGTGTATACATAAGTTTTCAAAAAAAAATATTACTATTACTTCTAATTTTCCGATAATTTTATGTCAATAAAGTAAATAAAGTATGGAAAATCCAAAAGTGCACGACTCATAATACTTATTATGCTCGTGAAACATATTGAAAAAAAATCTCAATCAACAATACAAAATATTTTTTTTTAGTTTTACTGTTATTATTCTTGACAACCAAAAAGTTTTTTTAGTATTGTTAAAACTTCTAACAGAATTATCTTAAAATGATCAGAAATCAACTTTAATATAAGTAACTATAATTTTTAGGTATTTGTACTCTAGCATTATAGTAAAAACTACGCTTTTTTACCTGACTCGTTGTTTTTTTTTTCATTTTCTTTATTTCGTTTTCAAAAAGTTTTTCGTCTAGTCACAACCAGTATTTTAATTTAGCATTCACCAAAGTACACCTTCAGGTCGCTAACAAGTCCTGAGGTAAGATCTCATCATAACTAACAAAACGAAGGTTAACTCGGCACACCTAGTTCTACTCTTCGAGGATACCAAACTACACCTTTAGGTCACTCCATAAAGTCCAACACGTATAAGTATATTTATACTTATACAATATTCAACAAAAACAAATTGGTCGTTTCAGGGATGTATAGGTGTACACATAGGCATGGCAATTATGATAATAAAAAATTATAATTTTTTTTATTATCATAGTTATATATTAAATTATAAATAAAAACATTTTTTTGGTTGTTTTAAATGGGGTTTTAGAATTTCTAATCGGAGAACTTACTAAAATATTTCTAAAAATGTTATTTGCTTCTGAACTTATCGACACGTACCGACATATCTATGACCGCTATGTCACAGACACGGCCGACTTAAAGCAAGTCGCAAGCGGCGCGTGCTTCCCCAAGGTTTTTGTGTAAATCGTTATACCTATCTAGACACAGATATTCTCAGAAAGTTTGAATTTAAAAATAATAGAATGAAATAAATTTTTTATAATAATTTGCTGGCAGTTTACGAATATTTCATTTCCCTTCTTGAATATAATTTCATGATTTAATATGTTAATATTTATTTTATATTTTATAATATCTTACATATATCAGTTTACGAAGTCACTTAACGAGAACGATTCTTAGACCCGCTAAGTAGATGACGATGTTTTGATGAGATCTAACAGTTTCTGAAATTACGTTCATTACAATCTATCGAAGTCAACTACTGAACATCATTGAATATCCTGTCTTTCTCACAGACATTCTCATAAGTATTTGCCATACTTTCCACTTTTGGCAGGCGGGATGGCAACCGCAGTTTTTTTACTTTGGATCTAGTTGTTGTTAAAAAGATGCTGTGTAGATGGTGCCAAACCCATGGGACGATTTTGGTTAGCGGATATTTTTTCAACCCCAATATACATTGTATTTGAATTCTTATGTTATAAATTTCCACTTTATTACTAAATAGATCTAGGAAAAATATTTAAAAACGGTTATTTCTACCATAAAATATCGTGATTAATTTCGAATTTGCAACTGTAACAGAAATTTGGTATGTATTTTTCATATGAAATTTTATTCAATAAAGAATATGTAACAGAAATTATTTTTTAAATAAATTATATCAAGAATTAAACTTACTCGCTACTCAAACTCAAAACCGTTAGCCGACGAACGACTTAGGTATAGGAAAACACAAAAAACCCCACTCTTCGAGTGATCGAAGGTAGCGTCCACTACATTTTTTTTATAGGATAGGGTGACAAACGAGCACACAGTCTACCTGATGGTAAGTGGTAATATACCGATTAAGGGCCTATACTACCTCAGCTTAAATTCTAATTTCGCCCTCACTTCACCGCGCGTCGTACGCTATGTACCGACATGTTTGTAATCACTAATACTGTAAGTAGATTGGTCATTACAGATACTTTATTTCATTAGGTTTATCATATTTATGCCTGTTTCTTTACGCCAACCCAGTCGTTTCTTATTCTTATTACTGTTATTTCCCATTTTAATTTTAATGTCGTCCTGTTGCGTAATGTGTATTCTGATCGTAAGCGACACAGCTTTCCCGTTTGAAAGCCGGAGCGAGACTGATCGGGCGACAGGGAACAAGCTTCAAGACGCCGATAGTTTAAGTAATTTCCAAGAAAGATAAAATACTGGCAAAGATGCAATTAAACAACCCATAAAAAGACACAAAGTCACAAATAAAATCCTCTTAATTTCAGATCTCGAAAGAGCGCACCGTGAAGCTTTCAACCCTGGCAGCGGCGCGCGTGACGCGGCTGCCCATTGTGGGGCGGCCGAGCGAGCGCGCCTGGTACACGGCGGAGGCGCACACCGTGGTCACGCCGCAGCTGCAGGCGGTCGAGAGCGGCTCCATACCACTCTGGGTCATCATCCTTGCCGCTATCGTTGGCGCGCTGGTGCTGCTCCTGCTCATCTTCGCACTGTACAAGGTAGGTTACTTTCTTAAAGAAATGAATAAAAGTATTTTATTTCAACTATCATGGTGTTAATATTACAAAGACCTTAGTGAAAAATAATAACAAAAAAAAAAACAGAACTACTTAACCTAAGACAGGAACGAATTGACATCACATGAACCATACAGCAGTCTACTCGCGCATCGGGGAACGTCCCTGTCAGGCTAAATCGGGACATGTCCTGTTTCAGTTTCTCTACAGGGTAGATGAGTAAATTCTGCGAGGCAATCATTTTAGACCTAAAAGTCTGCAGTAAGACTTGGGTTTCTCCTGCTGATTATCCGCTAAGGATAATCTGGCTAATTGTCAATATATACAATACAACATAGTGTTCCTTACTACTAGATAATACACACCAAAAATGTGGTTGTCATAAAAATAACTCATATAAATAACATATGTAAATGAGTCTTCATTAAAACATTCAGTTTCTTAGTTACAAAGAGATTGCTTCAAACCACGAGTCCGCAGCATTTCTGAGATACATGTGCGGTGCATTTATGGATGATTTTCCGTTTGCCGCACATGTGTATGTAAGCAGTGTGATCGTCTATCGTAAGATTTCATGAAGGTGCTTCGACTTTCACGTTAAAGTTTGAGTACTACATGAAAGCGTTTTCTTGCAGTGCGGTTTCTTCAAGCGCAACCGGCCATCTGACCACGCGGAACGGCAGCCGCTGAACGGTCGCGACGAGCATCTTTGATATCCGACCACTGACCTGGGCATGACCAGCGATACGCTCGACACGCTACATACTACCGACACGCCCGACACTCTCCACACTTCCGACACGGTCGACACCAACGAGTCCAGTTCGTCCACTGACGCTGCCAGTGATATCACCAGCCAAGACTCCAACAGCGACAGGTACTGACATCGCGCCAACGACAAACGTGTCATGGTATTTAAATTCTGAGTGACTTATAATAGTGATTCGAGTAAAGTAATTAGAAAACGTGTTTCATTATGATAATATTGCTGAATACACTGGAGAAAGAGATTTCGTTCTTTAAAGCGCACCTAGGGCAACTTTTCCTCATGTTTAGTGTTCGTACACACGCACGTAGTGTACTTTCTATTTTAAATGTAGACAATGTTGGAGTGATTTTGAAGATATATCGTATTAGTATAATTCTTGCGATTCACGAAGTCGAGCGGGCTTTACTTGTAGTCAACACCTATCAGTATATGTGTCAATGTGTTCGTAAGACCAAAAGCGGGTATGTTTAGCGTTAGCGACGGCATGCTCGCAACTCATCGCTCCGTCAGTCACGCACACTATCGCAATGTGCATGTACACGTTCAATCACGAGTAAAACCCACTCGACTTCGTGAATTGCAAGAACTATATGGAAGAACTAACCATACGATTATGTAGTATTATTGAGATACCTTGATGTATGGAGTTTGTAAATATATGCACAAATAGAACAACTTATGCAGACTGTAGATGTCCTAATTTTCTTTTATTGGATCGGTCGGACTTGCTGGTGACATTGGTGACGTTGTTTAGAATTTAAATCGATGGCTTACATATAGGGAGTGACAAATAATATAATACTTCCATAGATAATGGATTTTTTGTATATTTAGGCGGAAGAAAAATATTTGTCAAACTTGGTTTCTTATTCAGAACTTATACAATTTTTAATAAATAAAAATGTATTTACTCCATTTTTATCCACTCTTCTGTTAAATTGATGATATATAAGATTATGTTTTGCCCTGTATGTGTCTGAGATTTAAGAGTACACAGTAGAGAAATAATTAATAAGCTAATTAGTAGTAAATATCTTCGCGAAAGTATTTTGCCATATGTAAATAATCTATAAATAGTCACATAGTAGTGCCTCATGAGATATTGTAAAAATCGATTAGAATCTGCGAAGCCTTGAATATTTTTTTTAAATAAAAATGTAGCAAGGTATCGATAGGTCCTCTTTGTCATATTTATACATTATGTAAATTATTTACTAGTCACGACATTTATATATATTATATATTTAAAACATTCACGATGATAGGCCATTGTAATAAAATTAAAAAAAAAGAATAGAAAAATATGTAAAAAAATATATATTTACGGTATTGTCAATGTCTGATACGATGTGTCAACATTATGGATGAGAAATGTGATCTATTAATATTTAATTTAGCTGTATTCTTCACTTTTTGTTTTAAAATTAAAGGGACATTATGAACATTACCAGAAACATACGCTTGTAATAAACAAATATGAGAATTTTCATAAAACTTTGAAACATTTAAGATAAATCGAAACGTTTTATTTTTTACTCTAATGTGTCATAAATCATTTTAACATATTATATACCAGGAATTTTTGATGGAATCCTAATTTTAAGAAAACTTATATAATTAAAGGCAATAAAATAAGTATTTAGCTGTCAATTAATAAAAACCATATCAGACGGTACATTTAAATTTAAGATGTGTAGGTAAATGCAATAAAGCATATTTTGCGACGACTGTATTGTAAATATAAGAGATTTTTGATCTTGTAATTGTATTTACAATGCCTTGTAGTTATTAACTAGCGTTATTTATCATACTCGTATATAAATAGATATTGCTATATAAATAATAGTCTATGATTTTAATGATTCGACATATCAAAATTATAATACGTCTGTCATATTAAATTAAAAAGTTGTTATTATTATTATCGTATTTACAACTAAAGGTGAGAAGTTATTAAGCATGATTTCAAATTGAAACGATGAGTGTTTTCAGTCACTAGTAGAGTAAAAAGTCGTTGCAATCATAATAAAATATCATTTGTTTACAATTTCAGTCCTGTATATTATTTTATTTAAAGTAAGTACACGACTATTATTACATTTTGTATTTGCACTTTTATTCCAATGTATATATGGATAATAGTTTATTTTGACACTACAGTTCGGATTCATAAAAATCCCTTGAAAAAGCTTAGATCATATTATATGATCAAAGTTAATCAGATTAAGCTATGAGTACATAAACGTGTTGTTTATATTATAACAACTGCTTCGTCGATTTAAATTTGTTTACAATTTAATAAAAAACCTAAATTTACTATTAGATACGAATATGTGCCTTCTAATAACTGCCAGTTACTAATAACGTTTAATATTATTGTAAATATATTAGGACGTCATTGTTTTCGTAAATTTAATTGTTATATTTTTTCACAGAATTATTTAAAATGAACAATATATAAACCTAAAAATATTACATACTTCAATTTAAAAAATGTACTTAATATTTCTAAGTCGAAATTTCAGAACGGCAAAACATTTAATTTAAAAATAAAATATCATTTTTGTATAATTTCGAATTATGGCAACATTTCCAACGACATAGTTGTATTTTTGTGTAACTTAATAATATTATGATGAAGTCCTCAAGTGCATTCTGTGAAAAAATGTGGACGTTATATAACTTTGTAAGCGTAAACCACGCGATTGTTACTTTTAATTTTAGTTATTTATTTTTTCGTAATTATATTAATAATAATTCCGCTTCTACTTATAAGTTAATGAAACTAAAAGAAAAATATAGATGCCATAATAATGGAGTAATGTTTATTTTGGTTGTTTGTCTGGATAATTTTTTGCATTTACCAAAAAAGTGAAATTGTAATAAATTTTTTGTTTAAAAAATCGTTGTTTTATTTTAATGAGAAGTGGCTAATGCCCAGCAGTGGGACGTTTGTAGGTTGCAAATTAAATATTTATTAATTTCAGACAATCTAGGAGGGATGTTCAGCAGTCGACCTTAATAGGCTTTAATGAATAAATGAATATTTAAACACAATAGACTTCTTATAACTACATAAAATACGATGAAGTAACGCCAAAATACTTATAATAAATGGAAAACCTTTCAGCTCAGAATACCTACGTAGTCCTTACATCACAGGATACTCAGCAAAACTAGAAATATGCGCTAGAATTATTGATGTGAATCTTTTAGCTTTTATCTATTAAACTCGTAGGAAATCAAAGGAATACCATAAGCTGAAATATTGAAAACCTATTTTATATCCGCATTTTAACAATAAAAAAAACAGAACTTATTTTAATGACATGATGTTCACATATCATAAAAAATATACTTTATTATTTAAAAGACAGGCAACGTTTTAGTTGCTAGTTGTCTCTCGTCTTCGTATCTGGCACATCAATCCTTCTACCGATCGTTGCAATTGTTTCAAAGCATCAATGTGGTAGTCACTCTGCAGCTATATTATGGTTGTAGCACGAAAGGGTCAGCTCGACCGGGGAAGAACCACGCTCTCACAGAATACCAGCGTAAAATAGCAGCTTGATGCTGCTGTGTATCGTATGGTGAGTGTAGAGAACCGGAGACGCGTTTTATTGCAATCGAGGTATTCTATCTTAAGTCCTCAGGGGTGACGCATCTGCATTTTGATTCTTAATCGAGGTTAAATGTAAATGTCTATGGGCCACGGCATCCACTTACCATCAGGTGGACAGTGTGCTCGTTTGTCACCATATTCTATAAAAAAGCTTCAAAAATTTGTATCCAATATAGTAATACTGATGGTAACGGTATGGTAGCGGTGTGAGAAAATTCATTAGAGTTTTTTGTTGGGTGGTACACCCACCGCAATAAGCGATTAAGGGAAACGCTAAAAAAGTTCTTATAGCTTTCGTTAGAGGCGGTATAACCATCTCTTTACGCCAGGCGTAAAATACCCAGTGGCGACGGATAGCAGCGTTAAATAAAAGTGCGACACGTCTGGTTCTGCGATCGTCAATCCGCCTGCCAGGTGTGGCGAAGGAAAATCCTCGTCACAAATAGAGAACCTATTTCCAAGAGTAGAATTTTCCGGGTTGAATAATAAGAAGAAGTGACATTTTACATTACTAGTAGTGAAGGATTTTAATATAGTGAAAACAAACTAAGCAATTTTATGGACTGTTAGTTCGTAAAATAAATTAATCTGAAACTGAAACTGAAAGAATTTCAATTATCGGACAACGTATTCATGGAAGTTCGTTCTGAAATGATGGGCGCGAGCTTTGAGCTTTTGTTCTGAACTTCTGTCGTGGTAAGCCATTGTATTTCATTATAAAATTACACAATATCGTATTGAACTCACGTCGATGCGTATTGGAGAAGTCCTAAGCAATTTTCCCTACTCCAATGGTCAACGTAATGATCGCTAAATAATATTCACGGATTCAGTTCGGTTAACAGGCGAAATAAAGAAACCAAAATTGGGCCTATTTATTTACTAATAATTTCCAAAATATATTCTGTTAAAAATAGTTATATAGGCCAATTTATTCTTTAAGGTAAATATTTTAATAGCAACATAATGCTAATATGTTTCGTATGGTGAACAATGATAACCGGGCAGACTTACAACTGGTAACGACGCATTTCATCTAAGCCCTCAGGAATGATAACGGAACTCATTTTGATTCATAATTACGGATAGATTAGAACAAGTTAGTCGAAGGTGTACACAGACTGCAGCAGACACTATCAAGTAGACTGTTAGCCCGATTGTGGATGTACAAACAGTGTTGCGTAAGTGTACTGCGCTGCAATTTTGTACTAAGTGATGATAGGCATATGTCCCAGCGTGGCTATCCGCTTGGGTGTTTACCTCCACCGTACCAACTTTTGCTGCTAAGCTGCAATGTCTAAAGAATTTATTAAACCTAGTCA